AAAAAAAAAAACACTGAAAGAAAGAAAGAAAAAGAAAAACAGGCATCTAAACAAGAAAGAAACAAGAAAAAGGCGAAGCCACAAAAATAGCTCTCTCTGAACATTTTGAGACGTTCCAGAGAGAAGAAGGAGCAGCTCATTGTGAGGAAGAGAGGATTAGTTAGTGAGTTAGAGGTTTTAGTTAGTGGTTCATTTCTGTTTGTCTGTTTTAATGGTGAAGAATACCAACAGCAAACACAATTTTTTTGTTTAAACACACTCAACATGAAACCAAAACTGCTCCTTTTCACTTTCTTTATATGTGCTCTGGGTTTCATTGTGAAGACTTAGTCAGTGAACACTATTCCAAAGAAAACAAAAAGTCTTGCTTTGCCTCTGAATTGACTATTTTTTTTGTTTGTTTGACGTCATCAAGCCCTCTTATTTCTAAACTCCTCCCTTCTAACCACCTGTCAAAGAGACCACTATTCATTATCCAAGCAATTCCTGATTGATAAAATCATGACATGATGTTGTTGCACATTCTTTCTTTGCAGTATAGACAAAGTGTCTACCATTGGCTTTTAACTACCTTGTTTGTGTTAATATTGTAAATGGATTGCCACAGAGACTGCAAAATGAAAATACATGGGAGGTTTCACTGTTTTTGTGTACAATTCCCATCCATAGTCGTACCGTTTAAAGGGTTAGTTCACCCAAAAACTCTGTCATTAATTGCTCACCCTCATGTCATTCCAAACCTGTAAGACCTTCGTTCATCTTCAGAACTCAAATTAAGATATTTTTGATGAATCAAGGCATCTGAGTGCCTTCTGACCCTCCATAGACAGCAATGCAACTGAAATGTTCCCAGGCCCAGAAACGTCGGTAAAACAGTCCATGTGACATCAGTGGTTCAACTGTAATTTTACGAAGCTATGAGAATATATTTTGTGCACAAAGAAAACAAAAATAATGACTTTATTCAACAATTTGGAACAACATGAGGGTGAGTAATTAATGACAGAATTCATTTTCGGGTGAACTAACCCTTTAAGGCTGAGACTGATGCATAGATTGAATCTATAGGCGCTTAATGGTGGGCAAGACTTCTTCAGTGAGGCACGTTACTAGTTCATAGATTATGAAACATTGTCATTAGGAATTTTCAACTACTGTCCATTTGTCCAGGGTGTTCCCCTAACATGCGGCCCAAGACGCTGGGACCCTACAGCAGTGGACGAGTGGATTGATGTTTCTCAAATTGTTGGTCTTTGGTTGTTGTTGCATCTTTTTTTTTTTTTATGTATTGTGCCATGCATGTCACACATTTAAGATGCCATGTCCAGTTATAAAACAGAACTTTAAAAAATGCATCTCCATCTGCTTCATTCAGTCTTCATCTAGCTCAGGGCTGTCCAAACTCGGTCCTGGAGGGCCGGTGTCCTGCAGAGTTTAGCTCCAACCCTAATTAAACACACCTGAACCAGCTAATCAAGCTCTTACTAGGCATAGAAACTTCCAGTCAGGTGTGTTGAAGCAAGTTGGAGCTAAACTCTGCAGGACACCGGCCCTCCAGGACCGAGTTTGGACAGCCCTGATCTAGCTGCTTTGATCTCATGAATGCAAAAACCTAAATCCACCTATTTGGCCTGTTATGTTATGGGTTGAAAACCCATTTGCTATGAACAGTATACTAGAGGTCTTCTCGGGTCCTAAAATCTGTACCCGACCCGAATCGACCCGAATCACTTTTTACCCGAACCCGACGTGCATAAATTAATTTTTTTAAAAGAAAAACCCGACCCGAGACAGACCCGATGAAATTAGACCCGAGTCCGACACAACCCGACGGCATTTATTTTCGAACCCGACTGGACCCGAACGTAAACGGCATTGATGTGTGTACAGCCTGCAGCCCCGCAGTCAGTCAGGAAAAATCCCGGTGTCCTGTTGACTGATTTGGCCACTTCTCCATTACTTTGATTTATTTAACATTTATTCAATTTATTATTAGGTTACTTTATATTAGTGCCTGCCTGATGGATACAAGGTATTTCTGAGCTCCGCTTTCAATTGTGACCAGTGGATTTGAAAAATAAACGTGATAGTTTGATAAAAAATAAATCGATAGCCTAATCATGGATTCGCTGTTGTCTGCAACCTGATCTCTGGCGAAAGGCTTCTGCACACAAAAAAGAAAAGCCTTGCATGAACACGCAGCATAATGAAACGAGTGGATTTTCCCGATGGATCTCATATCTATAAGATGATGTCTGTGTGCGAGGATTACGAACGTATGCTCCTTTTCTATGTGCGTTCCTCTCTTAACACGAAAGTGAAAGTATCCTACGCATTCGGGATAGTTTAAAAGAATTCGGGTCTAATCGGGTCCATTTGGGAAAGCATGTTTATTTTAAATTACCCGAGACCCGAGGCCGCTAATACCGAACCCGACCCGTGTCCGAGGTACTCGTCGAAGTTTTGGAACCGAACCCGCTCGGGTCTCGGGTCGGACCTCAGGTTTTCGGATCCAAGTGGACCCGTGAAAAGACCTCTACAGTATACTACACAGATCTACGCTTAATGAAAAGGTTAATATGTTCTCTGCATTGATTTTTCACAGGTGGTCTACCCATATTTTAAATTACGTGTTCAGTCTTAGGGTTAGAAGAAAATGTCCGTAAACTAATGTCCTGGCAGAAAATGACCTACATGTACCTATTTTTTCTTACAGTTTACTATAAGATCTATGAAGTGAGCATCATCAAGTTTCAAGAAGGCAAAGGTTCATCTTATGGTTTCTATGTAGGTGTACTGCTGTGAGAACACAACAAAGGCTGACCAAGGGTGTGGAAGTGGAGAAGAGCAGAGCAGACAGTCCGTCACCATCCGTCACAGAGAGGGGTGAGATGAGAAGGCAGAACGAGGAAGGACAAATAAAGCAACGCGGCAGGGAAAGGGGAATGCCAGCTCTGCAGAGGCCTTCGGCTTTGGCTGGGGTTTGTGCTCAGAGAAGAGTGGAAGACAAGCAGACTCAAATTAAAGATGTGCCGTCAAACCAGAGGAAATCCTTCTCATCCTGCACTCTTTAAGGGGATTTTTTTGGGGAAAAGCAGAAGGAAGGGACTTAAGGAAAGGGCGACAGTGCTTCCGACTAGCCACAAGTCAGACAGGAGGGTCAATTTTCCAAACCTCCTTAACCACAGGACGCCTCCAATGTGGAGAGCAGGACGCTTCGATGGGGAGCTTGTACTGTAAATAAGA